GATCCAGATTTTGGATAAAATTGGGACTTTAGCTGGATGCTAATGAGAAGAAACTAGAATCAAATGCAGGTGCTTAGTTGGACCAGGGCTTATAGAGAGGGACTGGCTTTCCTGGCTGTTAAAAGATGATCTGTCTGTGATCTGAGGGGAACATCTGTCCATTTTCCAAGTGGGAGAAACAGCTGCCGAGTATCCTTGGAGACATTCTTAATGGCTCAATATGCTTTTGGACAGACATACATTCCCACTGGGAATGCCTCCTGCCCCAGGCCTAGAGATGGAAAAGTCCTCTGCATTAAAAGTGAGGTCTAGGTTTATGATCTGAAAGCACACCCATCATGCTAATTTCATTTGATCTTTACTCTGTCTATCCTATTTTCAAAGTCCTCATTGGAAAAAAAGATTTATCATCTTCCAATAAATACATTTCCAAAGGTTAATGATCCTGACTGCCTTCTGATACACTCTAATACAGACTAAAATATATTTCTCTCTAAAGAGTGGTTTAACATAATTTTTTATGTAAATGTCCATAATTTTAATATTTTGAATACTCAAAAAATGTCATTCTCCTTTAGTTTTCTCCCTTTATTTCCCTCCATATTTTCCAAACTTCTTATCCTTAATTAAGGCCTCAACTTCTTACGATGCTTTTCTCCCCTAACTAGAAATTACACACCTGCCTTGAGTTTGAGCCCTGCAGTGAACCTGAGGAAACTACTTTAACAATTGAACAGAATAATTGGAAAAGGTAAGTAGTTTTTCTCTTCCGTAATCAATCCGTGCTCTGTATTTCAAAGGATACAAAGGCTCCGAGTATAAAAAGAGCATTAAAGATATGATTCTGGAACGTGAACAGCGCCAGGCCCATGTAACAGAAGATGACGTTCTCAGCCAAAAAGTTCATAAATTCAAACAACTGAAAGCAAAGCAGAAACCAAAAACCATTAATGATGACTCAGGTTTGAGTTCACTTAATTTCCTGCAACTGTATTTGGTGACGGGGTGGTCCTCCTGTAGCTGGGGAGGCCATCCCTTTGGCCTGGTGCTCTGTCTCTGGAGGGGTGTGGGGGCCCTCCCTATCCTGTCAAGGGCAGCTGGCTCTACCCTGGCTCTCTACCCAGTGACAGATGTCACAGTCATGTCAACATCCCATTCTTTCCAACTGCAAGGCTGCCAGAGATAGCCCTGGGTAATATTAACCAGCATGATCTTTTCATGGAACAATTCCTACCAAGATAATAAAGTATTCTGTTAAAGAAACTGAAGCTGAATGATTTGCTTAAGGTGTACTGTTGTAAACAATGTGAAGATTGTTTAGCCCCTTCTGCACATTACCCAGTAGATGCACTTGAGTTCCCAGGCCCTAAAAAACTAAATTAAAAAAAAAAAAAAGCTTAAACTAAATTACCCTCCTCAGGCAGTCAGGAGGAACAAGCTTGGAAAACTTGGAAACTTAGAATAAGGATGAATGTCGATTATATTTTAACATTAGAATGATCAGTATATTTCAGTCCCCAGACAATGAGACTCATTAAATTGACTGATGTAGGTATATCCATTAAATGTCTACAATTTCTAGCTGTTAAAAAGAAAATGATTAATCCCAGGGATCAGTTTGTGCAGCAGGAACACAATAGATACATCAAATTCAGTGAGAAGAACGTAGCAATCACATGCTATGTGAGGGGCGCTCCCGAGAGCTATACTTAGACCATTAACTAAACAATTTAAGTTGAACATGAAAAACGTTCTTCAACTTCCAGATTAAAAGCAAAAGGGAAATTTGTTCAGGGGCTACAACAAAAGCAGGTTTGGAAGAGACTCTATTTTGTGTTCCAGACCTTTCGTTTGGAAGTTTCTGAGACTCCATTCCCGGGCCTACATAAATCACCATGTTAGGTAAATGTCTCTGGAGGCTTTCCTCTCGACTTTTTAAGGACTCGTTATTTTTTCATGTAATGCATTTATAGCCCCACAAATAATGCCCAATACCTGTTCACTGACAGTTGACAAAAAGAAAAGCAGCATCTTGTCAGAAACATTATTTAAAACCAGTGATAGAAAGAAAGGATTGAAAAAGAAACAGATGCTTCAGTGCAGCGTGGTTGTTCCGCAGCCACCATCAGTCACCCTGAGCACTCGCTTCATGTTCTGGCCAGCTCATGTAACAAACACTGTCACGCAGATAACCATAGGAAACTTGGAAACATGGAATATGGACTATGGGAAGAGGAATATTGTTTTTATCTTATTACATCTTCAAAAAGTGAGATTTGCTTATTGTCTTATCTGCTTGGGCTGCAATAATGAAATACCATAGACTGGGTGGCTGAAGCAGCAGAAGTTTACTTCTCCAGTTCTGGAGGCTGGAAAGTCCAAGATGAAGGTGCCAGCTGATTTGGTGCTGGTGAGGATCCTCTTCCTGGTTTTAAAATGGACACCTATTAGCTGTATCCTCACATGGAGGAAAGAGAGATCATATCTCTTGTGTTTATTCTTATAAAGGCAATAATCCAATTCATGAGGGCTCTACCTTTATAACCTAACTACTTCCCAAAGGCCTCACCTCTAAATACCATCACATTGGGGAGTAGGGCTTCAACATACAAATTTTGGGGGAACACAAACAGTTAGTCCTTAGCAGCTATCTAGTTTTTAACATTAATAAACAAATGCCAAGGTTAAATTCACAGGTCCACTCCTTTTCCTGCCCCCACCCCAAGTGTATTTTACCATAGAGAGGACATTTTGCCATCTGGAATCTATTCAGCCTCTTTTTCATGACCATACCCCAATCTCCCTCTGGGGTATCCACCTCATTTCTCATTCTGTGGTTTGATGCCTCCCAAGTTCAGATAAGGAACATATAATTTAGGACTAAACCATTCCAACCAGTGCATTTCCCTAGGCTGTGTGTTTGGTTCAGAAATGGGTGTGACACATTTGTAGCCAAAGAAATTCAATGAGGCCTTTACAGGGATGATGGGACAAAGATCCCCATCTTTTCACTGGATGAAAGATCAGAAGGATGCTGGGCAAGGAGCAGCTTGCAGCCGTCTTGTGAGCACAGGGTAAACGGCCATCTAAGAGAGAAGCCAGGTCCTGATAACCCTGTATAATCGTCTGTATTCAACCTCTCCCAAAGCAAAATCTGCCCTTGGACTTTTGAATTAAAGAGGCTAAGGAATCACTTTTCGCTTCGAGGTGGGGTTCTATCATTTAAAATGATGCATACTTCTCTACAGTCCTGCACTAGCTAAGAAAAAACAAAAACAGACCTTTCCACTCTGCACACAAGGGGAGCGGGTCAGCTTTTGGGCTCTTTTCAGATATGAAAGTCTATTACCCTTGCTTGCCACCATCACCATTTTAATCCATTCATCACTTTATAGAAAAAAGAAAAGTATGTGGGAAAAGTCAGTTTTTTTTCTTTTGGTTGTTGATATGTGATGAGAATTTTTACTATACATTTTACGTGAGTGTTCATGGTTTTAAATATTTGTTTTAGAGATTTGCTTTCTTTGGATAACCCAGGAGTTTAATTTGATTTATTCACTCAGCTTATTGAAATGCTACACTGCCCAACATTACAAATAACTGTGTATACATACATAGTATAAAAATTCCATTTTGAATTTAGGTCCATTTTTAGACCTGCTCTTTGTTCCTATTGTTACCAATACCACATTCCTTTTAATTAATGTAGATCCATAATATATTGTGATATTTCAAAGATCTAGATTTTTTCCCATAGCCTACATTATTCAAAAATTTCCTGATTATTTCTGCATGTTTTGAAAAAGGCTTTTATTGGTGCTTAATCACCCAGAAAAGTGCATAAATTATATGGTTACAATCTAAGGTTAAAATTAAAAGAATATTTCCAGCACCCCAGAATCACTCTTGTTTCCCTTCCAAGTCTTACCTCCCAGCACAATGTGACCACTGTTACACCTCTACCACCATAAATTAGCTTTACTTGTTTTTCAGTTTTATATGAATGGAATCGGATGATATGTACTGTTTGTATTTGTCATCTTTTACTCAATATTATGTTTGTGATCTTCATGTTATATGTAGAAGTAGCTCATTTTTTTTTCCATTATGTGAGTATATCACTATGTATTTATTTATACCAGTATTGATAGACAGTTGGGTTGTTTCTACTTTGGTGCTATGGTGAATTTTGCTGCTATAAATATATGGTTGCCTTTCCATAGAACTGCTGGGACATAGTGCCATGCCGTTTTCCAGAGTGGTGGTATCAATCTGCATTCCCATCAGCAGTTCTAGTTGCATCACATTCTTGCTTAGGAATCAAAATGTCTATTTCTTTTTTTTTTTTTTCCTTTTTGTCTTTTTTCGTGACCGGCAACGGATCGCAACCCTCAGTGTCACGCCCGTACCGGACCAGGACTGGCAACGGGATTGCAACCCTCGGTGTTGCGCCCGCACCTCGCTCAGCCAGTGAGCGGCCAGTCTGTATGTGGGATCCGAACCCTCGGCGGGAGCGCTGCCGCGCTCCCAAGTGGCACACTGTAGCAGTGCGCCACCGGGCCGGCCCCAAAATGTCTATTTCCACAAAAATTACATACTGGCATTTTAGTTAGAATTACACTGAATTTATAGATAAATTTGAATAAAATGGACATCTTTGAAGCTTTGAATTCATGAACATTGTATGTCCTTACAAGTATTTTGGTTTTCTTTAATTTCTCTCAGTAATTTCTGGCATAAAGATTTCACACATCTTTGTTTAGACTTATTCCTAGATATTGGATGCTTTTTGCTATTACTGTAAATAGTACCCTTTCAAAGTACATTTTCTAATTGTTTGTTGCTAGATTCAAATATACAATTGATTTTCTTATTGATCTTTATTCAGGGCCTTATTAAATTTATTTAATAGTTTTCATAGTTTATTAGTAGATTCTTTTGGATTCTCACAATCATGTTGCTTTCAAATAAGGACAATTTTGGTTTTTTCCTTTTCAGCCATTATACATTTTGCATCTTTTTGTTGTTGTTCATTCATTATACTTGTTAGGACCTCCATCACAGTGCAGAAGAGAGGTGGTGATAAGGGCATCTTTGTCCTATTCCCAATCTCAGAGGAAAACTTTCAATATTTCTCTATCAAATTCATAGAAACTTGGAAGCAGTCAAAACAGCATGCCGAAAACACCACTTTCATGTGAGTGGCCCACCACAGCCACAGCCACCACAAAAGTATCTTAATGCCATAGCAATAGCCACAGCCACTGTGCCAACAGCCCGCCAGACACTTGAATGCACTGACACAAAGAAAGTCACCAGTGGCGACCAGAAAGAGAAGAAGACATCTCTCTCTCTCCTCCAGAGTAATAGAATCTCTATATCAATGTAGAGACACTAGGAATTTGAAAACACAAAAATATATGACACCACCAAAAGAATACAGTAATTCTCAAATACCAGACCCTATAAAACAGTAAAACTTTGAAATGACTGAAAAGGAATTTCAAGCAATAATCTTAAGGACACTCACTGAGATATAAGAAGACTCAGTTAGACAACATAATGAAACAAGGAAAAAAATTCCAGGATATAAAGGAGGAAATTTACAAAGAGATTAATACCTTAAAGAAGAATGTATCAGAACTCATGGAACTGAAAGATTCACTCAGTGAAATAAAAAACACCACTGAGAGCTGAAGCAGCAGGCGAGAACAAGCAGAAGAAAGAATTTCTGATCTTAAAGATAGTCTTTTAGAAATAACTCAGGCAGACAAAAAAAGGAAATAAAAATTTTAAAAAATGAAGAAAATCTAAGAGAGCTGGCAGACAACCTTAAGTGCACAAACATTCAAATCATGGGTGTTGCAGAAGGGGAAGAGAAAGGAAAAAGCATGGAAAACCTATTCAATGAAATAATAA